TCATCAGAAACTCTACAGGCCAGAAGGGAACAGCATGAAGTATTCAAGGTAATGAAATGCAAGGATCTGAAACCAAGATTACTATACTCAGCAAGGCTATCCTTCAAAATAGATGATCAAATAAAGAGCTTTCCAGACAAAAAAAGGCTAAAGGAGTTCATCACCACCAAGCCAGCATTACAAGAAATGCTAAAGGGATTGTTGTAAGGGATTGCTGAGAAGAAGAAACAGAGAGAGAAACCTAGCCATACAGAATTAAAATGGCTATAAATAAGTACCTCTCAATAATAACCCTAAATGTAAATGGATTAAATGCTCCAATCAAAAGGTGAAGGGTAGCTGAATGTATACAAAAACATGCTCCAACTATATGCTGACTACAAGAGACCAACCCCAAAACAAAAGACACACACAGGATGAAAGTGAAGGGATGGAAAAAATTTTCCATGCAAATGGAAAAGGAAAAAAAAGCTGGAGTAGCAATACTCACATCCAACAAAATAGACTTTAAAGCATCATGTAAGCAAAATAACCCAGTCAGAGAAAGATAAATATCACATGATCTCACTCATTTGTGGAATATAATGAACAACATAAACTGATGAACAAAAATAGAGCCAGAGGGGGGAAAATATACTAGAATATAATAGAAGTAATCCTGTTATTTGCAGATTTTTAATATTTCCTACAACTTTTGTGATATCATACTATGTTAGTAGAGTTTTGGTAATTTTATTATACTTAAAATCCTTTTATTCTTGAAATATTAATGTTTATTGCATGTAATGTTATATGTAAGATAATTTTTCTTGAATTGGTGTTTATTGCATGTAACTTCATATTTAAAATCGTTTTTCTTGAAATATTAAGGGTTATTGCATGTAACATTATAGTTAAAATCGTTTTTCTTGAAATAAAAAACTAAAAAAAAAGAAATCAGGCATAAAACCAATTTAGAGCGACTGAAGGTAATTCAATATAAATAATTCCACAGAGTAATTATAGGATCAATATGTAGGTCAAGAAAAAGTATAACTGATTTAAAATTATGCTACATGAATGCCTTCTAGGAAGAATATCTTCTGTAGACTATTAACTGAAAAGAATAGACATACCTCCCAACTTTAGGGGGAAAAAAAACAGCCCAAATAAAAATCTAATGGTAGATGATCAAAGAGTAAAACATTTATAATTTTAACTGCCTGTAAGAAAGCCAGTTTTATGTTTGTAAAGCACATAAAACATTTCTTAATGAAATTATTAATGTTAATTAACTTAATAAAAAAGCTTAATCAGAGTATATCTAAAAGAATCAAGAAGCTCCCTAAAAAGAAACAAAAGAATCTACATATTTTATAGTATTTATTTTCCACGGCCTTCTATTTTAACAAGTGTGCTTTTAAAAGCACTTGTACAGCATCTGACAAATTACGAAGTGTTTTTAGAGATCTCACTTTTTCAATTAAATACTAACAGAAAAGAATCCGAATGTCATTTGCCTTGGTGCAAAGCTGTTTCATGTGAATCACTAAAATAAACAGGCTGGGGGCTTGGAGCTGGGGCGGGGACGACGACTTTACCTGAACAAGTGTTGTATCATTGCATGCTTTCCTGGCATCCTGAAGAAAAGAAAGAGGATGATAAAACATTTAGACATGGAAATCACTAGGTATAACTCAATATTTTCATTGCAAATGTAGATTTGCAAATGTGTTTTCACTGTACCACATAATCTTTATTCAAAACAACTTTTATTGAGATAAAATTCACATAACCCAAAGTTAACCATTTAAGTCATCTTGAAGGTGTATAATCGAGTGATTAGTATATTCACCATGACCACTACCCAATTCCAGAACATTTCCATCACTCCAAACACAGAAACCCTCTTTCCTCATCCCTTGGTAATCACTAATTTACTTTTCTACCTCTATGGATTTGCCTATTTTGGACATTTTATAAAAATGGAATCATACAATAGATGACCTTTTTGTGTCTGGCTTCTTTCACTTAGTATAATGTTTTCAAGGTTCCATAGGGTGGGACATATCAGTACTTCATTTCTTTTTATGCCCAAGTAATAGTCCATTATATGGATACATCACATTTGTTCATCCATTAATTAATTCATGAACATTTCAGTTATTTCCATTTTCTGGCTTTTATGCACAATAATGCATTGAACATTCATGTACAAGTTTTTGTTAACTTGAGAAAATGTCAAATTGTTCATCATAGCAGCTGCACCATTTTATAGTCCCAACAGGAATGTATGAAGGCTCCAATGTCCTCACATCCTCACCAGCACTGTTGCTGTCTTCTTTTTTTAATTTGCATTGTTACAGCCATCTTAGTGGAGGTGAAGTTGTATCTAGTGGTTTTGATTTCACCAATGATTAGTGATATTGAGCATCTTTTCATGTGGAGAATCTTTACACGGGCATACCTGCCATTTGTGTATCTTCTTTGGAGAACTGTTTATTCAAACCCTTTGTCCATTTTCAATACAGGTAGGGCTTATTGTTGAGTTGTAGGTGTTCTCGTGTTCTGAGTGCGAGGCCCTGATCAGGTGTATGATTTACACACTTGCTCACATTCTGTAGGCTGACTTTCCATTTTCTTGATAGTGTCCTCTGACATACAAGTTTTTAACTTTTCATGAAGTCTATTTTTTCTTTAGTTGCTTGTGCTTTTAGTGGCATATTAAACTGTTACCTAATCTAAGGTCGCCAAGATTAACAACTATGTTTAACTTCTAAGAATTTTACACTTTCAGCTGTTATATTTGGGTACCATTTGAGTTCATTTTTATACACAGTATGATGTAGGAGTCCAAATTCATTCTTTTGTGTGTGGATATCCTGTTGTACCAGCATCATTTTTAAAAGGAATTATTCTTTCCCTATTGAATGGTCTTGTTACCCTTGTTGAAAAATCATGTATCTGTGGCAAATTGACTTACTTATGGACTCCCTATTGTATTTCATTGTGCAAATATATATTGGGTTTATAACTAAGAAATTTTTAATTGTATTCCCTGAGTAAAAATGAACTAGGTTGATTTAATAAGGCCACAGTATCCACAGTTATATTTGTTACTAAGCTGCAGCAAAAGCAAGAGATCTGAGTTCCCCTTCTGTTTGTTCTGGCATCTAGAAGTCGAGGTGATAGGAATGATATTTATAGTATAACCCGGTCATTTCAGAAATGTTTTTAAAACTACATAGCACTTCTATGGAAATGCTTTCCAATACACTGGATACAGATGCTATTAGAAATAAAATATTTTAGATCCAATATGAGAAAAAGACATGACATTTCAGAAAAAACAACGTTTATATAATAGCCACAGTTTATACTAAGTTGCACATCTATATATTTATATTAATAGCATTAATTAATAGCATGTAAGCTGGTGTTTATGCTTAAGCATTTTAGGGTAGACTTTCAGAGATCTTAAACTTTTACGCAAACTGAAGGGAATTATCAAAAGAAAGATAATGAAACAGAAATCAATATAACAAAATAAGGAAAGGAAAGAACATATATAATAAGCAAAAAATATTTTAAACCAAGTTTAATAATAAATTTAGAGGATTCATATAACATGGGAAAATCAGAAGTGCAATTAATTCTTCCTACTGGACTTGAAACAATTTTCCCCCTCAAGTATTAGGGTAATATCCTTTTCAACTTTGTTTTTCCCTACTATGCTTAGCGTGCTCGTGTACAGAGGAAGCACACAATATTTGTTGAATAAATGTGCCAGATGGACGTGTTCCACAGCGAAGGAGAAAAAGGCCTGCCTCTACTTGCAGCAAAGACTAGATGGACTGCATAATCTTTCTGGCTGCCCTTTCAACCTATTTATAAACACTTAGAATATCTCTATGTCAGGGTGTTATAAGTAGTTATACAAACATACGATTTGATTCTCTCATTCTTAGTCAAATTGTGGGTTAAGAAACCTCATTTGGCAAGGAATGATTTAGCCCACTTTCCTGCAATGAAAAGAATTTCCAGAAATGACAGTGATGGCCTGAACTATGTTCCAAAAATGGTGGACTTGAAGACTAAATTCTAAAAAAAGGGCTCTCTGATTTTAAGCTTTATGAAATGAACTATATCATTTAGGTCATCTTCTTAATTCAGTCATTCAATTAAAAAATCAGTTGCCACCCTGGCAGGTTTACTCAGTGATTAGAGTGTTGGTCTACAGACCAAAAGGTCATGGGTTCATTCCCAGTCAAGGGCACAAACCTGGGTTGCAGGTTTGATCCCCAGCCCTGGTCAGGGCTCGTGTAGGAAGCAACCAATTGATGTGTCTCTCTCACACTGATGTTTCTCTCTCTCTCTCCCTCCCTGCCTCCAGCCCTTCCACTCTTAAAAGCAGTGAGGATTAAATAAAATAAAATAAATCTGTTACCCTGGCCAGTGTTTCCCAGTGGTTAGAGTGTTGGCCCAAGCACCCAAGGGTCATGAGTTCGATTCCCAGTCAAGGGAATGTAACTGAGTTGCAGGTTTGATCCCCAGTCCTGGTTGGGATGCATGCAGGGGGCAACCAATCAATGTATCTCTCTCACATCTATGTTTTTCTCTCTCTCACTGAGGTTCAGTTTCCTCAACTACAAAATGAAGTAACACCATCTACCTCACAGGGTTGCTATGAGGATTAAATGAGATGGGCAAGTGGCCATGTGCTTGGCCAGTCATTCCAGACAAGAATAGCATAAGAAAATTACAAGTCAATATCCCTGGATGAACAGAGATGCAAAAAAATCTCAACAAAATATTAGCAAGTGGAATTCAACAATACATTAAAAGGATCATACAGCATGATCAAGTGGGATTTATTCCAGGGATGCAAGTATGGTTCAATATCTACAAATCAATCAATGTGATACACCACATTAACAAAATGAAAAATAAAAATCATATGATCGCCCTGGCTGGTTTTGCTCAGTGAATAGAGCGTCGGCCTGCGGACTGAAGGGTCCCTGGTTCGATTCCGGTCAAGGGCATGTACCTTGGTTGTGGGCACATCCTCAGTGGAAGTGTGCAGGAGGCAGCTGATCGATGTTTCTCTCTCATTGATGTTTCTAACTCTCTATCCCTCTCCCTTCCTCTCTGTAAAAAATCAATAAAATATATATTTTTAAAAAATCATACGATCATCTCAATAGACGCAGAAAAAGCATTTGACAAAACCCAACATCCATATATAATTTAAAAATCTCTCAACAAAGTGGGCATAGAGGGAACATAGCTCAAAATAATAAAGGCTATATATGACAAGCCCACAGTTAACATCATACTCACTGGTGAAAAGCTTCAAGCTTTTCCTCTAAGATCAGAAACTAGACCAGGATGTCCACTCTCTCATCACTTTTATTCAACATAGCACTGGAAGTCCTTGCAAAAGCAATTAGGCAAGAAAAAGAAATGAAAAGCCTGGCCAGCATGGCTCATTGGTTGAGTGTCAACCTATGAACCAGGAGGTCACGATTTGATTCCCCATCAGGGCACATGCCTGGGTTGCAGGCTTGATCCCTGGTTGGGGCCTGCAACCGACCAATTATTCTCTTTCATCATTGATGTTTCTATCTCTCTTTCCCTCTCCCTTCCTCTCTGAAATCAATGGGGGGGGGGAGGAGGAAGTAAAAATATCACTACTGTATTTGTAGATGACACAGTATGATATATAGAAAATCCTAAAAACTCACACAAAAAAACCTGTTAGAACTAATAAATGGATTCAATAAAGTTGCAGAATACAAAATCAATATACAGAAATATGTTGTGTATCTGTATACTAATAAAGAACTATCAAAAAGAGAAATTAAGAAAACAATCCCATTTACAATTGCATCAAAAAATTAAAAGGCTAGGAATCAATTTAAACAAGGAGGTAAAAAATAAAACACTAAAAACTATAAAACATTGATAAGTGAAGATGCAAATAAATGAAAGGATATTTTATGCTCATGGATTGGAATACTTAGTATTATTTAAATGTCCATACTACCCAAAGCAATCTACAGATTCAATGTAATCACTATCAAAGCCCATGGCATTTTTCAAGGAAATAGAACAAATCCTAAAATTTGTATGGAACCACAAAAGACACCCAAATAACCAAAGAAATCTTGAGAAACAAAAACAAAGCTGAAGACATCAGCTGCTCCCTCATTTTAAACTATATTCCAGAGCTACAGTAATCAAAACAGTATGATATTGGCATAAAAACAAGCACACATATCAATGGAACAGAAGACAGCCCACAAATAAACCCAATACAACTCAACAACAAATCTGATTTAAAAAATGGGTAGAGAATCTGAATAGACATTTTCCAAATAAAATGTAAAAAAGTACATGAAAATGTGTTCAACATCACTAATAATCAGGATAATGCAAATCAAAACCACAATGCAATATATCACCTTACATGTTAGAATGGCTATTATAAAAAAAAAAAAAAAGAATAAATAACAAGTATTGGTGAGGATGTAGAGAAAGGGGAATACTGATGCACTGTTGTTGGGGTGTACTAAGGAACTGGTGTAGCCTCTTTGGAAAACAGAATGCAGGTTCCTCAAAAAATTTAAAATAAAACTACCATATGATTCAGCAATTCTACTTCTGAAGAATTGTATTTGTCTGAAAAAAATGAAAATACTAACTCAAAAAGATACAGACGTCCCATGTTCTATAAATAATTGCAGCATTATTTACAACAGCCCAAAATGGAAACAGCCTAAGTGTCCATTGACAGATGAATGGATAAAGTAAAGGTGATACATCTATATAATGGAATATTACTCAGACATAAAAATGAAAGAAATCTTGCCATTTGCAACAACATGGATGGACCTTGAGGGCATTATGCTAAGTGAAAAAGTCAGAGAGATAAATACCTTATGATCTCGCTTATTTGTAAAATCTCCAAAAAGAAAAGCTCATAAATACAGAGAAATTTTCTAAAAATAAGATGGGCATGTGACCATGTGCTTGGCTAATCAGTAGATCTTGCTCAGCACATGGAGCAAGTCACAAAAAGTAGAGAGAGAGGGAATCCTTTCTGGTGGTGGCAACAACATCTAACTCAGAGATTAGCCCATGGAGCCTTCCCTGATCATTCCGGGCAAAATAAATCCCTCTTTGTTTTGTCAGCTTTGTTCAGACACCTAAGGTATCAACTCCAAGTTCTTACTCACATCTAGATCTTTAACTTCTTTGCATTCCCGGCAATAAGACTGGTTATGATTTCAATCCACTGGTTATTTCAATCAACATTTCCCCAGTGAGTGTTCTTGGCCCAGTCCTTGTTCTCCCTGCTCCTGTCCCTCCTTTCTTGTAATATCTTTGTAGAGAGCCTGTGCTTGTTCCTTTTTTTCTTACTCTTCACTTTTAAATGAGATGAGTTCTTCCAAAATCCCTATTGCAAAAGCTCATATTGGAGAGGGCCACCGCGGTAGTCCAAGTTATTAGAGATTCTCCCTGCTTCATGCCAAAGGTCTCCATTTAGATTTGTAAGTTGTTTCAGCCCTTACTTTTTCCCTGTGAAAAGAAGTAAGCAGCGCCAGGCTACCCACAAGTCTCTTTGCTCCACTTTGCCAACAAGAGGCTTCCTAAAAGAAGGCAAGTCTGTACCCTTCCATTTTTTTTCTCTGCCTATCTTGATATTCCTCAGTCCAGAGAAGCATCTGTTCCCATTGCTCCAAAAAAGGATTATTGGAGTTGTCCCTGAGGGAGTGCCACCTACTCTGTATGAGATTCACAGCTGCAGAAACCCCTCTCAGAGCCTTCCCCACAAAGCATTGCTGTATTTGACAACTTTCCCCATCCTATTATGAAGTTCCAAGTGTCTTTCAATTGTGTTAAAGATGGAGCTTGTCTTTGTTTCTTATGCTCTTTACTGTTTTGAGTTGATTTGCAAGAGTAAAAGATGACACGTCTTTATTCTGCCACTAATACCTTTTAATGTTTTTTGCAATGTAATGTTTCACAGATGAATAATTTTTAGTATATTACAATGTGATAATCTGCCTCCTCGTATTGCACCAAAAAATCAAACTATGATTCCAGGTGTGTGACTAAGAAGAGAATTATGCTTGTCTTTCAGGAGGGATTACATATATGATATCCACTTCTTTGGGACACAGAGGCCATTAGTCCAACATATGTATTTGTTAGGAATGATTTTTGGAGAGTTCTTTAGATATATGATAAAAAAAATTGACCGTTTCTTGTCTCATAAATTATTTAACATCTGTAGACTGATGACCTAATGAACAAATCTAGTTCATTCATTACTGGTATGAGATAAAAATGTTTTTGAGAAAATGAAAAGGATTGCTCTTACCTGGATCTGATTCCGTAGTTGTTCGGCTTCCTGCCTCAACTGTTCCAGTTCACTCATTTTTGGAAAATTTTTGCTTCGAAATTAACAACACAAAACAACTATAAAAAATAGAGAGAGACAAATTCAGTTCTCCATTTACAGGTTAATCTACTTTAAAATATTGACATATAGCTTCTTTTTGTTCCTTCTGAAATGCCAATGAGATAGTCAATTATTACTAGAATGTAAAATTGCTAAGTACATATAGATCGAGATTATTTATAAAGGGTATTATGGTGGAATGTGACTAGGGCAGTGATGGCGAACCTTTTGAGCTCGGCGTGTCAGCATTTTGAAAAACCCTAACTTAACTCTGGTGCCGTGTCACATATAGAAATTTTTTGATATTTGCAACCATAGTAAAACAAAGACATATTTTTGATATTTATTTTATATATTTAAATGCCATTTAACAAAGAAAAATCAACCAAAAAAATGAGTTCGCGTGTCAGAGGTCATAGGTTCGCCATCACTGGACTAGAGGATGGAAGCGAAATCTTGAATTGTAGTTTTCAAGACTAAACTAGAGAGAATTAGTACTAGAATGGAGTCTTGTGAGAAACACTTCACAATAGGGCACACACAGACATACCCACTTAAATGTCTAATAAACACCCCAAACTTACTACTTCAAAACTAACCCACCCTACCCCAAGTCTTCCCTATCTCGGTAAACGGTAATCCCATCCTTCCAATTGTTTAAGCCAAAGACATGGGAGTCATCCTTAACTTCTGTTCCCTTCACACCCTACACGTAAACCATCAGCAAAGCCTGCCAAACAGTCCTTCAAAAAAATATCCAGGATTTGACCAACCCTGGTTATGTCCACTTTGAGCACCTTGGTCCAAGGCATCATCATCTCTCACCGGGTCTCCTTTCTATTGCTTTCAACCATGCTCCAATCTATAATCTAAATATAGCAATTAGTGATCCTTTCAAAGCACAAGTCTCTCTTCCGCTTTAAATCCTACCGCAGTTTTCCGCTCTTTATTTTGAATTAGAGTCCTACTCAACTCTTACACACACCCCTCTGACCTCATCTGTCCCTCTCTCACTCTGATCCAGCCACTCAGAAGCTTTCTTCATGTTCCTGGAACACACCAAGTAGCTCTGGCCTCCGTGTCCTTACTCTTGCTCTTCCCTCTGCCTGAAATGCTCTTACACTCCCCCCTCCCCCCGCCCCAGGTCCTTTATTTCTGCTTCAATGCTACCTCTGGGGGGGGGGGGGGGAACCTTCCCTGATAGCACTTATGCACCCACCTAGACCCCTCACTCTCTCTCAATCAGGTCACCAACGACTCAACACCATTTAGCATGTATCTGCTTATTTGTTGTCTGTTTCCTTCTAGCAGAATATAAGCTCCTTAATGCAGGGACTTTGTCTGCTTTGCTCTTGGCTGTATCGCTAATACTGAAGACACTTTCTTCTTCAGTAAATAAGCTAACCTGAAATCGCTTAAGAAAGAAAGGGAACTTTGTTCTAAAGATTTAAGATGAATCACAGAACCGAAAGGCATGACTCTTACCACCTCAGGAGGAGACCAGAGCCTAAAAACTGGTAGCATTCGTTTTCTAACTGTCCTGCTTTTCTCTTCAGATCTTTGTTTTTCCTCTTTCTACAGAATAACTTCCTCTGCTTCTCTGAGCACAAGGCTCAGTTTATATCTGCTCAGGGCATGATTAGAACCCAAATTCCCGTAAGGATTTTTTTCAGGTATCCATCTTTATTCACTTCAACTCTGAAGTGGTATTGAAATTGCTGAGTAAAACAACTTTTAAACTAGTTTAAAATGCTCTTTCAATTACTGTGACTTCTTGACTAAGTTCTTTTTTGACATGAATATTTGATTCATTTAACACAGTTTAGGTAACTATCATACAGGGAGAGCATTTGAGTGGAGCAGAAAGCAGCATATCGGTTATCTTTTAAAAGCCAGCTGTACCAGTTACAAATATCAAAATACCAATGAGCCACTGTGTCCAAGCCAATTTATTAAACAAAATGGGAAATACAGTTGCATAATTCAAACTGCCTTCTCCCTCCACTTCTTCAAATGTCCACAGAATTTTTAATAAAGCAAGGCATTATGTAGCTTGTACAATTATACTGCTGTGTTAGTGAATAGCTATTTTAATCATACAAGACAGAGAAATACAAGTAGCTTAGCTACTAATAATTTTCAGTCTGATCATGAAAGCATATAAAATGAAAATATAATTTCTACACTTTGTAAAATTCAAAAAAACCCTACCCCCATAATGAATTAGGTAGGATATTTAAAAAGCTTTTATGATCATTCCTATCAAGGAATTTAAATACACTCTTGCCTACTCATCCCAAGTATACTGTATACGGATATTCCCATGTGGCTTTCTCTCTCAAGAAGTCAGCAAAAACTTAGAGCGGCATGGGTGAATGGATAAGAGAGAAAAATAGAAGTTAGAGATGCTTAAACTGTAGCATAGGCATTAAGTTTTGGTTTTTCATTTTGCTATCAAATATCTCATTACACTGAATTTTTTTTTCTTGGGTTGAGTGTGGGATTTTTATTTTATTATTTTTTAATCCTCATCCAAGAGTATTTTTCCATTGATTTTTAGAGAGAGTGGAAGAGAGAGGGAAACAGAGAAATATCGATGTGAAAGAAACGCCCCAACCAGCGCCCGGGCTGGGGAGGAGCCTGCAACCGAGGTATGTGCTCTTGACCAGAATCGAATCTGGGACCCTTTGGCCTGCAGTCCAACGCTCTATCCACTGAGCCAAACCAGCTAGGGCTACACTGAATATTTTTAAATGCCCCAGAAGTAAACCAATTCAGCATCTTGTAAACCAAAGGCAACCTGTGTTGTCTGTGTTTCAGGAAACAAATAAGGTGCTGCTCCCAGGTCAGGTTTGTTTCCCTCTCCTAACTGCTATTTCTGACGTAGTTCATTCTTTCACCAAATGTTGACTGAATTTCCATTATGTGCCAAGAATCGGGGCTACGCGTGAATAAGACAGTCCCAGCGCTCCAGCACTTGGCAGTCTAAGAGGAAACGCAGATGTGTAAGCACACACTCTCTCAGGTCCACAACCCACTACCCTATGCCCTAGGGCCAGATGCGTTTCAGAATTTGGAAGTTTTCAGATTTTAAAAAAGTGTATTCATTATATATCACATAATACCCCAACTGGACCCTGGGAAAGGATGTCACATAGTCAGGAAGGAGTGCTCCTGCAGCAAAAACGTAAGCACATTCATAACGAGGTGGGGGGAAATCGACCAGCAAGTGTCCTATTAGATCAGGTGAGGTTGTGGCACCAAATGAATTAAAATCACATAAGCTTTTTTTTTTTTAAATATGTTTTTATTGATTATATTTTTAGAGAGAGAAGAAGGGAAAGGGATAGAGCAATAGAAACATCAGTGATGAGAGAGAATCATTGATTGGCTGCCTCCTACACGCCCCTTACTGGGGATGTGCCCACAACTCGGGCAAGTGCCCTGACAGGGAATTGAAACTGTGACCTCCTGGTTCATAGGTCAACACTCAACTACTGAGCCACAGCAGCTGGGCTACACTGGAAGCTTTAAATGAATAGATCTAGCTTTTTTTCCGGTCAACATTTTGGGAAACGTTCAGAAAGATTTTTTTCCTGCATTATTCCTGTTATTTTTATCTATAGGCCTAAAGTACAAAAAAAAAGAGCACTATCCTGACCTACCGTCAATCCAGGTCATCATGTGACCCACTCTTCCACTCAACAAACATGTATTTAACACCTTCCCACAACAGGCAGGGAATGGCCCCACTCCACTCCACTCAGAAAAGCAGCTGGGTAATAATAATTACATCAAGATGCAAGTGCTACAAATGTTCAAGGTTTATGTCACCAAAACCAATTGTTTCATGAGAACGCAGCTGAACTCAATATACTGAAGATTTCCCTTAAACTTTATGCAATACATTTTGAAACCACTGTCGGTGTATCTGTTGAAACCATTTCAGTATGCTTATATTTTTAGCTGTACTACCTCAAAGTAACAAGTTCTATAAATTCACTGTCAGCTATGTCAAACAGCATAGTTGACAGTGAATTTATTTACCTTTTACTTAGTCCTAAAACTACCTTCTCTAAGTCAAGACACCTCTAGTTTTAGGATTTCTAAGACTGTGTGAACTAAACATTAGGAAAACAAATCATGATTATGTAAATTACAAACCATAACCTTGATAGTCTATCTTTTCTCATATGACTCTACTCAAGTATTATTGCCTCTTGGATTTTTTTGATAGGACCATGTGAGGTTCATCCTGTATCACTAAGTCACACAGTCTTGTATCGCTTTGAAGTCACATAATTTGTTTTTGTTTAACCAGAAAAAAATCCTTAAATTTATCAGACTTGGTTACATATTACTCTATTATATAAAATTTTTTCAATGAATCTTACTGCTAAAGAATGAAAATATGACAACCATGGATATCAGAATTCCATCTAGCAAATGTTTATGAGAGCCTAACAGGCATCATTGATCTAGTTATTTGCTGACTTGGCGTCACTGGACAAAAGATGACTTGTGCAATTAACATATTCATGGAAAGGTAGCTACAATTCCATGTGTTCACAGCTTTAACAAAAGTAAAATATTTAAAGTTACCAATAATAGCCCTGGCCCGTGTGGCTCAGTTGGTTGGAGCATCATCCATACACCGAAAGGTCTCAGGTTCCATTCCTGGTCAGGGCACATACCTAGGTTGCAGGGGATCCCTGGTGGGGGCACCTGCGGAAGGCAACTGATTAACGTTCACTCACACACCGATGTTTCTCTCTCTCTCTCTCTCTCTCTCTCTCCTTACTACCAATAATAAGTTGCCCATCATAATTAGTACTCTAGTGTTAGTGTCTTTCTCCCAGTGCAGATTTCATTCTAACAGAAAGCCATAACACCTAGGGACAAGATAAGACCTTGGAAGTTTTACTAATTAAAAAGCAAGTGTGTGACATTGGTCTGAGATGAACAGACATCCATCAATGCTACTTCAGCATCACGCTTTATTTACCAAGGTACCATA